AGCTCCAGAATCAGATATAGGAATATATCTACTTACATACGTCGTGGCCAAAATGTAGTAGTAGTAGTAGTTTCCAAGATTTACGAGGTCGCTAAATCCGGATTTTTATAAAAATTGGTTTCCCACGGCTTTCGTGGACGCTAAATTCAAATTCGATATTAGAATTTTTAAATTCATATTAATGGATAAATTATGGTGTCATTAAAAATGTTGAGTGTTAATATAAAAAATATATTTATATATACTGCGTATACGAAACATACATATTCTTAGTAACTTTTTATCAAATTATATGTTTGTAGTAATTATGTTTTGATATTATGGAAATGTGTCAGATACATTTGCCGATTTTATTATTAATAATGCAGACATTAACATTTTCTTTATATCAAAAGGAGTGAAATATCCTCAAAACACCATCAGTTTAGAAAAATTTAGCCAAATGCGTTTAATATTATTCAAATAATTGCAAACACAACTCAAATTGCAACCTTCCTATGAAAAGCTCAAATCAACTATTTTTGCCAAATATAGTAGAACATTCATTCTATTAAAGTCTCACTTAAAATCGTTTTGCCAAATGTCACAGTACATTTGATTTCACGTATGTTGTATGTACAAGATTTTCTACTTACTCAAATCGAAGACAAATATTTAAAACTATATTGAAACAAACAAAAAAATTAGAAACTAAATTCGAAAACAATATTTAGATGCTAATTTCTTTTATTTGTTTCGATATGGTTTTTAATATTTGTCTTCGGCTTGAGGAAGCAAAAAATCTTGTACATACAGCATACGTGAAACAAAATATACTGTGACATTTGGCAAAAGGATTTTAGCTGAGACTTTAATGGAATATTCTTCCATGTTTGGCAAAAATAGTTGATTTGAGCTTTTCATGGGAAGGGAGAAATTTTAGCTATTTTTGCAATTAATTAAACAAAGATAAATGAATTTCGCTAAATTTTTGTATACCGAAGGTGTTTTGAGGGGATTTTAAATAACAAAATTTAAATTCATATCATTACTAAAAAATGCGTTTTTTAAGTAATTAAATCAATTACATGAAATTATTAATACAATTTCATTTACTACAAAAATATTCTTGCAAGTCATCTGAAAAAATTACAGGCTCAACAAAGCAGGACGTACTTTCATTATGCCAAACATGGATCCATGATAAGTTCTCTGAATTGAGAAATTATTATTTATTAAATTGAAGTAAGATTTCGTCAGAAATCAAATCAGAAATTGAATTATTGGCGTTAAGTATTCGGGGCAGTTCAAGCATGCTTTTTAATGTATTTGGCGCGAAAATACCGAGTCTCCTGATCACAATTTCGAAGAGTAACATGCAACTTCAAATATCACCAACTCCTCCCTGTTTCAGAAACTACTGTGGGATTTAGGACATCCTTTATACCTATGCTAGATGAATTTTGTTCAAGCATGCTTTTTAATGTATTTGGCGCGAAACTACCGAGTCTCCTCATCACAATTTCGAAGAGTAACATGCAACTTCAAATATCACCAACTCTTCCCTGTTTCAGAAACTACTGTGGGATTTAGGACATCCTCTATACCTATGCCAGATGAATTTTGTTCAAGCATGCTTTTTAATGTATTTGGCGCAAAACTACCGAGTCTCGTGATCACAATTTCGAGTAACATGCAACTTCAAATATCACCAACTCCTCCCTATTTCAGAAACTACTGTGGGATTTAGGACATCCTTTATACCTATGCTAGAGGAATTTTGAATGTTACGATCGTCTACAGCAAGATTACAACAAAATACATCATGTATCGTTGTTTGCAATACAGGAGAACAATAGCGCCCTTCTTGGGGCTGAAAAATATCCATTCCTTTATAAATCATCCGTAGCATCGTGGTTAACGTAGCTGCTTCTTGCCGTGAGTCCCAGCTCGCATCCCAACGCAAACAAATTTTTCATGGACTAATAAGAACCTACCTACAGATCTTTACTGACAATCCCGGACAGACCCAGAACGAAATTTGTTACTTAACTCGGTCCAAAGAAAAAATTCATTTTTTTCCAACAAGCATATATATAACATCCCAGGCAACCCATGAATTGAAATATACGTAAATTAATTGTCTAAATTAGGTCTATTGATATAGCGAATATATATCGTCTATCGTCCACCTAAAAAAAATATCTTTTGTAAGTTTACGGATGTATTTTAGGTATAGACCCACACGAAACAAAAGCTCTGTTATACGTATATAGAATGTTTTCATGGCTACGGGATGTTTCAGTATATTATAAGTTAAAAACAGACATATAATATATGTTCACGGAATGTCAAAAATATTCTATTGTATTTCATATGTACATTATACGTATTAAATATGTTACTAGTACATCAAAATGTGCACCAATTAAATACGTTTAGTAAACGTATAATATGTCTCTATTTAACAGGAATTTCTATGTGTAGTATTTCACATGCAAGAGACATATAATGTACGTATGTTGTGTATATATGAAGAGAAGAAAAATTGACCTGTCACGGACGGAAAACATACATATATTTTATGCACGTAATTATGCATTATTTTACTCACATGTTTGATATACGTACTATAGACATTCCTAGAGCAACCACGTTTTCACCAATAAACGACGTATAATATACTTCTATTTAAGACGCACTTCTGTCTGACATATCACACATGCAAAAGATATGTAATATGTGTAAGTTGCGCGTATATTAAGGAAATGAACATTAATTTGCCACATACATATGATATACATATATATTACATACGTATAATAACAAATATACAGGGAAATTTATTTCTACCCATAAAGTACATAATACAACAAATGATTGTAATATGTGCCTAGATGTATTCAAATAAAAAGTACATTAAATTCTTCTTTGCTGCACGTTTGTTATATGCTTCATTGATGTGCAACCTGACTACTGCAGACTGAAAGTGAAGCTCATACAAAGTCAAAATGATCTACGTACGTACGTATGTACGTATATACGTCTGTGTCAGATATCTTATATACGTCTACTATACATAATATGTCTACCATATATCTTGTTTACATATAATATACGTACTTTATCCATATGGAATGTATATTAAATGAAAGTTGAATGTTCAAAAATACATATACTATATGTTGACGGCATTTCTACATGCCCCAGCACATTCCGTGTACTTTTATATACATCTATTACACATCCCAATGACAACACTACGCACCAACTTAATACTGCGTAGTTGGTTAGGGTTGATGTGAAATTAATAATTCACTGAATTTAATGGATATCAAACAGAGTATATATTAATAACAAATTACGACACAAGTTGGTCGTTAGATGTGGTATAAACGTTTGCGGAGTGCTGTCAAATTGTCACGAGAAAATATACAGAATATTAATTGTCGCCGATTAAATAGCAACTCACTGTTCCGTCAAAAAGACTAAAGAACGCTAAGTCCGAGGGGTTGGACAACGCCTGCATCCCGCATGACCCATTCACGCAGAACTCTACCTCGGTATTAAGGAAAGAAATTCTTTACCGTGTATTCGAAATTATTGGCAACTTAATTCGATACGATGGGCGATCATATGATTATTACTACAGGGTTTGTCCAAAAAGTAACGTCAGTGAGTCGATTTAAAAAAAATGATAGATCAGATCGTTACAACACATTAAAAGATTTCAAAGTAGACTCCTCCTGCCTCGATACATCGCTTCAGTGAAATTTCCAGGCATCAAAGGCGGCACGGTAGGCCTCCTCCGGAATGTCCTCTAGAGCCTTGGTGCAAGCCGCTTTGACGTTGGCAACTGTCCCAAAATGATGACCTTTCATGGGAGTTTTCAAGCACGGAAACAAGAAAAAGTCTAGAGGCGGCACGTCAGGACTGTAGGGCTGCTGGGGAACCGTTGGCACCTTAGAATCGGCCAGGAAGCGGGTCATGAGGAAGGCGGTGTGGGCTGGCGCGTTGTCATGGTTAAGTTTCCAATCGTCCGTGATGTCGGACCGGACGCGATGAACCCTTCGTTTGAGTATCTTGAGTACTTCCACGTAGAATTTGGTTCACGGTTTGGTCACGGTTGGTAGAATTTGGCCATGTAGATTGTGTTTCGTATTAGAAAAGCGAACCTCTTGGAAATGTTAACCTAAAGTCAACCAATCGGAGCTCGGCATTCCAAATGCATCACTTCCTATGTCTCAACAGCGGAAAGGGAAGACAGTGCATTCTGAATACAACTTTCCATTTTTTTAAGAACTTCAGACTCAATTAGGACATCGAACAATTTAGTTGGTTGTCTCCGCATTCGGACTTAGTGCGTTAATTGGACACGCGAATGTACCGCGAATCATATTGATAACTTGTACTTGGTTTTTTATTACTGTAATAAATCGTTCTTGTTTTGTTAAACTTGTGCGTGGTTCAAATTCTCAGACTTTGAATTTACCCGCTAGGAACTTATCTCAGCGCTCATTCTCAAGGAGCGCAATATTGGTTTTTCGGATTAAGGATTTTGTTCCTTGAGGGTTGTGAATGTCTAGAAGCGCGCAGTGAATCATACATGCCAAAATTCTGAAAAAATTATAGTGACTGCCAAGAATAATGCACTTTAATTATGACAGACGTGAATTCATCATAAGCTCTCACAACTGAGATATTAACACTAGAACTACCAAGGCCAGACAAAATGACTGGTTTCAAATGGCCCATCCTATACAAAAAAAATCCGCCGGTAGTTCTACTGTTAATAGTAATAGATACGAGGATACCGAAGTTGCGGAAAATATTAGGTAGCGTTTGCGCATGCATAGGGCTGGGCATATACACAAACATGCGTGCGAATTTATGTACATTATTAATACTCGGCGCGAAACTCTACTGAGTTTCCTGATTTATGTTAAGTATCGGTGTTACCGACCTGGTCAATACCATGGCCGCGTGACAGTATACTCTAGTTTCCTTTTTTGCTCTAATAGCGATATTCACAAAGAAATATTGAAGTTTGCAATAATTTATTCCTTTTAATTTCAGTGGACTGTCAGAAAACTAAGAAGGAAGACGAAAAGAAAGATGAGGAGTTTAAGTGTCCTGAAGGACAGGGAAATGGAAACTTCGCTGACCCCGCTACATGTCGAAGGTTTTACCAGGTACACTTGTTTTATAAACAAATTACAAAAACTCCAAAAATTGTTCAAGGGCCCAGTAAAACCAAACCCGAAGTCCTGAGTGACTGCGATGTTTGCTAGAGTCCGACGATATCAGTAGAGATCATTGCAACCAACATTGTTTTACCAGCATTGTTGCATATTGATGCTACGAAAGTATCCCACATGAAACGATACGTATATTATATATTGCGACTCCTTTCATCCGCCGGCTCGGTTGGGCCGATCGCGCGGGCATCCAACTTCCGCCCGGACCACGTGATCGCGCCGGGACCGTCAAAATATCGGGACGGGATGATCATCGGGGAATCGAGCCCGTCAAAAGTTTCTGGGCGCCAGGCACGCCGACGTTTCAAGTGTCTTGGTGCGGCACCCAGCCGCATCCGAGGACGTCCAAGTCGTGGACCACCACTCGCCCGATGGGTCCCCGACAATCCCGGTCTTGAACCTAATTGCACTCAATGCACTCGACTAGCTCAGGAAGGTCGTGAAATGACCGCAAAGAAAGGGGGTGTTCTCATTTAATACTGAATACAAGAGGGAGCGAGAGAAATAAAGAAAGTAAACTGTAAGAAAACAACTAGGTAGCGTATATTGCCATCTGTATCGACAAATTACAAGAACAGGATTCAAAGAAATGTATAGTGGTGAAAACTCGACAATCAGGAATGAACTAATCTAGTCGATTGAGAAAGCAGCAATGCGCGACAAAGAAATTCATACTTAATCGGGAATAATTACCTAACGCAAATTTGTTAAGATAGCCCAACGGAACCTAACGTAACTGAAACGCAGAATAATGAAGACAACGCAAGTTAACTGAATAACGCCAAGTCAAATTCTACTTTATGCAAGATATCAAATAATCTTTAATCGGCTCAACTGCGGAAGGCAGCGGCACAATTAATTGACGGCAAAATAGCACGACATCTTGACGATTTTTAGATAGTGTTTCGAATTTGCAAAAAGAAATATGACTTTACTATCCATAAGGGAGCTCCTCGCCCGGAACACGTGGGTCTACTAGATGCGCCAGCCCACGTAGCCTTTCGATCTCGAACCCCGTGTGGCAGAGGTACGAGTCCTTAAGACAGCTTAAAAATCCCCTACAACTTTTACAGCGGATTCCGACGACTAGACAGCAAGACACGCACTGTCTGAAATCTTAACGACACCGCGATCACTCAAATAAATTCCGGGAGGTAACAGGTAGCTTCGTTTCCACCCTGACCCTTAGATAGTCCTACTCATAGCCGAGATTCACTCAAGATAGTTACCCACTCCCCAGAGAGTAATCACACTGAAGTCGTATAATAAATCCATTCACACCACAAATTCACAGAAGACAACGCACTCAAAATCCCATTAAGAATTCTACTTGGAGATCCACTACTATTAACATCGACTTGCCTTGTCGCCCTAATTCGGAAATTTTCAATATTTCTATTTACAAACTGTCTCAGCGAAGACCAAAACCGTTCACAAATCCCCGCCAGGTAAAGAACTTAAAAATTTCGCGGCCACACAATAGAAAATTCCGAGCTACGCGTTCCTACACAAAATGGCGCGACAGAAAATTACCGGACATAGAGAAAATTACGTGACACAATGCAAAGAACAAGAAGTCGCCCTTGTGCCCGCTCGAAGAATCCCGCGGCCTCCCGAGAGGCTAACTCAAAGCCTGATTTCCACCAGCCGTAAGCCCCACCAGGGCAAACCGGAAAATCGCCCGCGTGAGACTCACGAAGACCGACTCCACGGTATGCTTCTGCTCACCGGCGCGACACTACCCGGGTCCTACGACTTCACGAAACTTATCGGTGACGAACTAATCTCGACTAGGGGTCCTCGACCGAGCATGTGGCACTTAGTTTAATGAAGAAAATTCACTGCCGCTCGCCGACCCCTCGGCTGAATCCCTCGCTGAGCCGGGAAGCCCTTTGGTCTTCGGGGACGCAAGATAATTAGACAAGTCAGATAATCAAGAAAACAGACGTAAGAGAAGGTCCGGTCGGTCCGACGATCGTAGGCAACGAAGATCGGAGCTCTCCGTGCGCTGTCCTAAGTAGGGATTTAGCTGGCCAGTCCGAATCCTAATCGGCGCCGTTGATTGGTCGAGACGCTACTTGATTTCCCGATTTTAGCGGACTCGGCGTGCGCTGACCCAGTTCCTGACGAGGTTGCGGTGGCGCGGTTGTCGAGCAACGGCGTTAGCCTCACGCGTGTCGAGCCGCCGGTGATGCCACGGCCGTAGCGAGCGATGGCCCGTCGGGCCCCGGCGCGCCGGATGTTCCCGGCGGCCGAAATTTTCCCCTCCGGGGGATTCTGGCTCACCCGGATCATGAGATAGGCCCCGGGTACTCCGGTGAGGATGGGGTCGGGATCCTGGCCCGGAAGTCGTTGCTCCTTCCCGGTGCACGGCATCCCTTCCTCCCCTCGTAGGTGGCAGCCAGGGTCTTCTCGGAAGCTCCTATCTCTTGGTCCTGCTCCTGGTCGGGTAGTCTTGATGTTCCTGCGGGTGGCCGTATCCGAGCCGCCAGGGCCCGTCTACGGCCCGTCCCCGTAGGCAAGGCCACCAGGAGGTGCAGCGTGGCCGACTCGACCCTTCGGATAAACCCAACGAGCTGGCCGTGGCACCGCAATCGGGGACGCCAGACCTGAATATGTTTCTTGAGGCTCGCTCGACGGCTTCGTTCTTGAAATCGGGGCGACGAGCAGTAGCGCGTGCACGCGACCTCCAAAAATCCGCCGGTGTTGATTCTCCGGCCTGACGACCGGTGCCTCTCTACGCGTTACAGAAATTCGGCGAGCTCTTGAACACCTCGCCAAATATTCATCTCGAATATTCCTGCGAGTGCTCGAGAGCACGCACGGGAACTTAAAAAATGAATGCATGATTTTCCTTACAGAACATTGGGAGAGTTCCCGTGGTTCGCTAAACAAATGACAACTAAAATCACTTAATAATAGGTTTGTTTAAAAACAAAATAGAAACATTAAAGTAGTTTTAATGTGGCTAAAAATTGTCCAGACTATTGAACATAATGTGGAAAGCATAGATCATACATTTTTGATATCAAGACATTCATTTTTACCAAATAATAGAGATTTTGGCGTGGTAGAAATGTCATTAAAAAAAATAATTTTCTGTTTGTCCCCCAAGATTATTATAATATTATTAAAAATTGCCGAAGAGGCAATAACTATATTCTAAATGAAATGAAACAAGAGGATTTTGTATCAACAAAATTATTAGAAGACGCAATTTTTAAAAGGTAAAGAGTTCTGACAGAGAATCAATAAACTGGTAAAAATATGTTGGATGCGTTTTGTCAGAAATGAACCATATAAAATTTTCTATAAGAAATCAACGAATGAGAATAAGAATTTTAAAGACCTGGATTTATTACCACGTCGGGGTAGACCACGAAAGTTCGAAAATATTGTATTGACACCACTTTATAAAAATATAAGACCAATTACAACAGTGAAATTCAAGGACATAATGGACCTACTGCGATATATACCACCGAAACATCATTACTTCTTCAAATCCCTTTCACATACACAAAATGTTGATGACCAGTAGATTGTTTTGTAATTTATGTAGTTAAACAATGTTCTGAATTGCATAAATATTGTTTTTGAAGTGTTGTAAAGATATATAAAATAAATTGAGTATTGTTTTTATCCATTTGAAGCACTTTAAATTATGTTGAATGGACTTGGGCTCTTTCAAATTTTATAACGAATCTGGTTGTCAATTGTGAAAGTGACTTAACTTCATTCTTGGTAAGAAAACGCATATTATTCACTTAATAATTGCCATTATTTTAATAGGAACTGTAAATTTAACTCCTTTAGATACACTTAAGCGGTATGACTCATTAGTATCCTGTACGTATATTTTTAATTGCATTGAAACAGAAACCCTTAAATATCTGAATTTAAGTATAAATGGACTTAGGCCACTCTCAAAATAAACGGCTCGTATTTCCTTTAGCATGCACCAGGACTTATTAGAACCATACAAATGTTTTTATTTTCAAGTACTTACTAGGACCGCTGAAATTTTGACCATAAGACCAGAAGTTGACTATTGCAGTGCCAGTATCATGGTCACTATTATTTTAGATTAATTGCGAATAATTCTATTACAAAAAATTGTTCATCAATTATTTATAACCGATTTCGAAAAAATACGATTGAGACAGAATATTATTGAGCATACGTCCAATTGAATTCATAATTAATTCTCCCTTAACATTTGGAATGTAATCTGTCTTGAAGATATAGGAATAAACTTGAAATACCTGTGCTTTTATGCAATATCATACTGTAAAACGTTAATCGAAATTGATAAAAACGTATGTTGTAATCTAGTCTATATATGCCGGTACAATTTGATAACTCTCGATTTGGTAATGTGATAGAAAGAAAAATGACGTTTGATTAAACCCGGTTTATATCCAGCTACGATAAAATTTGGTACAAAACATTCATCGCACAGACATGACCAATTGAAATTTCAGGAAACATGGTTTTCTCTTTCTGCATCGACAAACTACGATTTTGCAAAAATGAGATGGGTATAACAACTCGTTGGTGTACGGACAATTATGCGGCAGGCATTTCAATGTGCAGATACTTATAGGTACCACATAGGTTACTTTGCGTTCTCACTTGTGAATAATTAAAGAGCAGTATGCTATAGTTCAATATTTTTGTATGTAACTTACAAAGGAACATTCCCAAGTATCCGCCTCCGATCTTATTGAGTTTCATATATGTTGAGGAACACAAAAACCTAAGAGACACGTGTTTTTTTATATCTGCAATGGTCCACAATTAAGGGGTGAAACAACCCCCCAAAGTTTAGAGAAAAATCGTTTTTTTTTAATATTTTTCGTAGGAGCAGTAAAGGGATTTCGACGAAACTTTGCATAAACGTATTTTGTATAAGGACGGTGACAACACAATATTGTTCAGCATTGTTGCACCCCCTCAAGGGGTTGACTACCCTTCAGGTGACATTTTTTTGTAATATCCATTAAACAAGCACTCCTACTTAAGTTCCACTTACGCGATGTGATTGCTCGCAAAAAATTACGAAATACGTGTTTTTTGCTTTTTGCCAATAAACATTTACACATCGGTTGTAAACAATGAATGTAGGTGGTATTAGGGTATATCCCGACTACCTTTATTGGGTTATATCGTGACCAATTCATCGTACATAAGTCGTGTCAACGTGGTAATTCTTCAAAATGTCATTGATTTTCATAACATGCAATTATTTATAAATAAATTAAAAAATAGTTTCAGAGGCTAAAATTGTTTCGCAACGGATTCGACGATGTAGTCATTACCCGTTTCCAACTAGTAATACAATCTCCGTGGTGAAACGATAAAATTGAATTTTCACTGTTTTTACGAAAAAATAGATTCAGCGATATTCGATACCTAAGGTACGGGAATAGTACGTTGAATCAAATCAAATATATATTATGATATACTGAAACATCCCGTAGACATGAAAACGTTCTACATACGTATAATAGAGCTTTTGTTCTGTGTGAAAAGTTTCCGGCAATTAAATCTTATGTAAGTAAATACGTAAGGATAATAATAAGAGTAAGTTTGAAAGGTTTCCATAAAATATAAACTGTAAATATGAAGTTTATCCACTTTAAGCTTAAATGAATTATTCTTAATAGAAAAGTAACCTGAAAAATGTCATCATAGATACTTAACCTTTTTGATCGATGATTTCTGCTTCGTATCGTTTGCCATCTGAATATTTCACAATTACACCACGTTGGCTTTTCTTGGAATCACTTTCCATACATAGGTAATAAATTCCATCAGAAGAAAGGACGAGAAAGAACACTCTTGATTTTTTTGCGAGACTCTATACAATGCTGCCAGGAATTCCGTACGAGTTTCCCCTCCAAAGTCCCGCAGCGCGACTTTCCCCCACTTCTTATCAACTCCGGTCTGCCGCTTAGTGCCGCTGCAGCCTTATAATAACAGCCAATTCCAATTATCCATTTACAAGTACAAAAAGCTAAAAGCGTGACTAGTCCATAGACGTTTTTATATATTGAAATGGTTGGTCCCCATAAGTATTTGTATATTGAAATGGTTGGTCCCCATAAGTATGCGTACATTGGAATGCCGGTCTCTGTAAGTATCTATACATCGAATCGGCCATTCCGGCGTACACGTACATTTTCATTACAGCCAGTCATATTCTAGCATTTATTTGCATATATTATACTTATTTAGCTACTGATATCTTCGAACATATTCGGAAGGAAACTGAACTATAAACATACCTTCAACAATCCACGACCAAGTGTGCAATATAATCTACGTGGTTCCCATAAGTATGTGTACATTAGAATGACTGGTCCTCGCAGGTACTTATGCCACCATTTCGGCGTACACGTTTGTATGTATACCAGAGCATAATTTTTCCCAATTTCTCCGGCAGTGATGTATTTCATTACTGTTCCTTCCAACATATTTGCGAAAATACTGTACTAAAGCTCTTCCTTAAATTATCCACAAACAGGAGCGCAAAGTGCCCGACAACGGGATACTCGAGGATATAGCGGAAATGGCGAAAGGTTAAACAATTTAATCTCAAATCTGTACGCTCAAACCTTGGGTTTGGCCAGTCCGGCGATGCTCCCCCGTCGGTAGGATCCGAGTAGAATGCGGCGATGCTCCCTCGTCGGTAGGATCCGAGCAGGATGCGGCGATCCTCCTTAGGCAGCAAAATCGGATGAAGTTGAGGCAGCGGTGGAAATGCAGATAACGAAGGCAGCGAAATCTTGAAACACATTTGAACGGCTCGACTTTCGAAGACTAAGAAGGCAGGGTCCTCGACCCGGTCTTCCGCTGAGTATTGAAGCAGCTCCTCGGCGGCGGCTCGATGGTCTTCAGTGATTGGTCTCCGTAGGTTGCCAAGTCGCGTCGACCAATTGACAGCTGCCAAGTTCGAAATTTCGAACACAGAACGCTGTCAGCCGCGGCGCTAAGCCGGCTCGGCGCGTTCATTCACTCGCGGCTTTGAAATTCGCGCCTGCCGTCCAATCCGAGCACGGCGCTGGACCGTGACGCCACGCGTAATGCTGACCAAGGACAAAACTTCTCAGGGATCTGGTGACGCCAATCCTGGTCTCCATAGAGCTCTTTATCCGAATGGTAGCTGGGGGCGTAGGCATTCCTTGATGCGGCTCCTCCAGGGCAAGGGGACCGGAGAGCCCTTCCATCCGTGGGTCACCGCGCCCCGGCCTCGGCGCAGGACGGCGCTACAATTGAGACCCCCCTCGCCGCCCTTATAGGAGTTCCATTGAAAACTCACGGCGAGGGGGGCCCACGGTCACCGACAATGCACCCTTCTCCCGCCATCAGTGAGGGGCTAGAAATCCGTGTACGAGCGCGGTGACCGGGTGGCGCCGCCATGGGTGAGCCCTTGCCGGAAAGCGCCGAACCGCGAGTGGTTCAGTACGGCCTTTCTCCCCACGGCCCCATAGGCGGCAGCGGAGCGAGGCTCTGCCAATACAGCAGCCACTGCTGTTGCCGGTAGGGATGTCCCTCGAAGACGTCCTTGTCCGTGACGTTTGAGGACGTCCCTCGGCGATTGTCCCGGATGTTGATGCTTCTTCTGAATCCGCATTCGCTTCGTTCCGAGGATGCTCTAACGGCTAAATCTAAGCGAACTTATAGTCTATAGAAACAAAAATAATTCTTATCGAAGCCCCCTCGGCTCCTCGATCACGAGCAGCAAACGTTCTGAAATGAAAGGTTCATAAAAATGAAATAAAATAAAGTGTTTTACTGTCATCAACCAATATTTAAGTATGTCAGAAATAAATCATAAAGTATTGTCCCTGGGACGACCGCCCACAGAGTACTTCGTCACAATGCTTAGGCCGATATTTCATTAACGCTACAGCTACAATTGACGGACCTACGAAGGGCGAATAAAAGATTTTGATTAGCTGCAAAGAACATACAGTAGATGTTCCCCTATTTTTTGCAGCCAATCAGAACGTTATATTTGTGCTTCGTCACTCCGTCGTTTGTCGTAGTGCTAATGAAATATCGGCCTTATGCTTGTAGAGCGTTCCAGTTTTCTATATATTTCAATGGCCATTACACGTAGTAATTAGCGCCATCTACGGTGTAAAAAGGGAACCGGATATGCGAAGATGACAACGAAACTGAATTTGATCCAGAGAACTTATAGAAATGGAGGGAACATAGGTAGGGGTGGGGGTTACAGGGTGCGGCCCGGCCCCTTCCTCCTCAGATGCTCCCTTAAAAACTAACCTAACCTATTCCTGATTATAGGACTAGGTGAATATTTCATGTTAGAGATGCACGTTTTATATTTTAGACCTAAACTGAAAACATGCATGTCCCTCCCACGAACTGTATACCATATGAAAAACTGTTACACCTTATCAAAACTTGTATATGATCATTTGTTAAAAAAATGATCTAGGCCAGGAACCGGTATCCAGTGTTATGAGCTAACGGCACCGCCGTCATCTTTATACCGTGTCGAATAATTCGTATCCAATAGTGTGCATATGGTGTCCAAACGGCCAGTGTCCAATTGGGATCCGCCCCATTCATCCAGCTGGTTGCGTGCACTCCACTAAGCTGGGGCCTGTCTTAGGGTTAGTCTTCCATTATCCCTCCTTCCATCGATCCGGAACTCACAATTCCTCCTGCTGTTACCTTAAAGTTGTCGGAATACCGAAACACCCAACTGTTACTCACAGTACAGTTGTCTGTCCCGAGAGGCCCAGACTAATGGATGTGAAGAGGTGAGTTCGGACGCACAGTCGGACTCGATGTGTGGACGCAATACGCGTATTGAGCTTATTGACTTGAGATGTTGTTCCACAGTGGTTTTTATAATGTGTTTCATCTCCGACTTATTAATAAGGGGATACTGGACCCTACGTTTAGTACCTCTGTGTTGTATTTTCGATCATGATCAGATGGTTATCACGCTATGCAATGTGGCATTTTGCATCTTTTTCTAATATATTGGCAAGGCTGGGTTGTGGCTCTGCCTCTCGATCTCCTTCATTTTTCTAACTGATCGTTGATGACTCAAATCATGTCCGGCGTTTATCTTCTAATATACGAGACGTGTGCACGTTCATTTTTAACGAGTATCAGTGGTCACATAACATAGCTGAATAAATGATCACATACTAATAAATTAAGCGTCTTATAGTGCAACTACGTGTGATTATATTTAACGGTCCTAAATATCATGAACGTCAAAATGTGAAGCAATAAAATTTTAACTGACAAATTTATAATGCACATTTTTTACTTTATAGTGTGTCGATGGATATCCGTACCTCAACAGATGTCCTTCTGGTCTGCACTTCGATGACATTAGCAAGTTTTGCACATTTAAGAATGAAGCTCGGTGCGGCCCAATTGCTACAAGTAAGTATAATATGAAGTAAGTAATTTGGGTAACAATATTTATTATCTCCAATTATTTTTTTAATTCCTTTTCTGTGCAGCAATTGCTCCAATAACAGAGCCTCCTATTGACTTGGCAGAAAGGTGTGACACGTCTCAGTGTCAACTTCCAGAGTGCTTCTGCTCTCGAGATGGCACCATCATTCCTGGGGGATTCAGACCGGAAGAGGTATTACTTATCTTTACACTAATCGGACATAAAACACTTACGAAAATAACAATAAAATCATCAAAAATATGTTACATAGATTTGTTTTGATGATTTGATTTCGTAAACATATGTTTAAATTAACACATTTTGTCATTGCAGGTACCTCAGATGATATTAATGACATTCGACGGAGCAATTAATCACAATAACTTTGACCATTACCAAAAAATCTTCACGAAAGACAGATTGAATCCAAATAATTGTCCTTTGAAAGGCACTTTCTTTATATCCCACGAGTACTGCAATTACAACATGGTGCAAAGTTTGGCACATGATGGTCATGAGATTGCTACGGAAACCATATCGTAAGTAATTTCATAAAACCGTTTGTATTATATTGAACCAATTGTGCGACAGTACATTTAAAATCTACCTAACAATATCCAGGGTGACCATCCGTTCACCTGTATCAAAATGGAGGTGAATAGTTTATACGATAATTCCGAAATATTATAATAAGTAAATTGGGTATGCTCTACTCAATAATGATAATTCAACTTCTGGTATTAAACGTAAATGGAATGTCCACAATGGAATCGACCTTCTCAAGTAGTTCATGGTGATTTTCACAACAGTTTCAGACTCTACATCAAAATGCAAGAAAATTTTGCATACAAATTCTTTTGACAACGACACCATCAAACGCAAATTAGTCCTAAAAGCGTAATTCTTGAATAGGATACTTGGCAAGGAAATCATCTATTCGGATTAGAAGTCATGTATGTTATGTGACGAGAAAACTAAACTGAAGAAATCTGAACTGAATTTGAGAGAGGATTAGGTGGCTTCGTCACAAAAGGGTTTGAACCCGCCGGGGTCAGATACGGTTCACTTCACCTGTTCCGAGCTCGGGCCGCGCTTCACACTGTTCTCGGAATTTTACGCACCAGGCATCCCTAGGTACTAAGGAAATTTTTCGGCTTGAGCCCTGATTGACAGGAGTCAGCTAGGTCAGGAAACCCCTGCGGGATACAGATAGGGGGTAGGTAACGTCGATTACCAAACGTAAAGGAAAAACTCTACTCCGTCGGACTTTAAGTAAACAGGGGGTTTACTAGCGGATGGTTGTGCCTGACATAAATCTGTACAAACACCGTTAGGGTAGCATAGTCACTGACGTTGGAACTCCACAAAACAGAAACGAAACAAAAGACCGACTCAACGGATTAATTTTTAGGCGAGCTTGACGGACTCAATGAATTACCTCGAAACGACCTTAACGAACTCAATGACAAGACAAGCTCGAGTTAGTGCCAACGGGTTCGGCTATCGGGGTTTCACGCCGACTACGACGTCCTCGAAAATGCCGATGTCCTCGACGACGGGATCCGAGTAACACGGAAAAATCGACACCCGCGGGATCCAAAGAACGCAGAAAATCGATGCACATCGAATTAACACAATGCGGGTAATTGAGAATCGTAGAATAATATGAATAATTATACACTAATAATCGATTCGCCTAGAAGTTACGCAACAGAGAAATCGATTTGCACGAAATTCACTTGGCACCGAAAATCGCTACAGATATAATTGATCCTCGGGATAACTACGCAAACGTACTGAACGGTGGACTTACTGCGTCTGCCCGGACGTAAACGCCACCGAAAGTAAAGGCCTCGGCGAAGGCAAGATACAGATCCTCTTCAAAGAGCTCGGCGGCCACGTAACATAAGAAAGACCTAAGGAGTAAAACTTCGTATTTTGGACCATCCCCAATCGAGAACTACGAACAATTGTGAATACGGCAGTTGTTAAAAAGGTGCTCTTTAGTGCTTCACCGGTGCGACACCTGGACAGACGAGCGACATATACGATACTTACAACGGAAAAGCTTCGATTAACGACCGCGGCACATAAAAATCCAGGTTCACAAGTCGGCAAAGTCAAACATAACCGCGGCATCAACAATACAGGTGGTGGATCACGGGTCGAGGAATTAACTACGAGAAGGCCGGAAAATTCATAAAATTGAACGGAAACAATTTCATCCCTAGACGGGTTTACGCAATCCTGCGGCTACCCGGTTGGGCCCTAACGGAGTGTTTAATTCGACAGCGCGATACAGTGGTGGTGGTTCTCCATCTAGGTATCCGGGAGCTGCTTGGCTCTCGACACCTACGATCGGTAGCTGTGGCGACACCTGACTTCCTCTCGACAATGAGAAGCAGATCCTAGAACAATCCGCCGAAACATAGAAGGTCCTCCCGTTCGTCATCTAACCCACCCCTGCTCTCTTTTGCCGGTGTCATCGGTAATTTAGAGTACTATCTAATTACTTCGTGAGGCAATTCCGCCGAAATCTAATCGGTAGATGGAGGCACCGATAAGAAAATCATAATCGACCAGTGAACTCGTCGATAATGTAACAAGGGCCTAAGAGACAAACGTTAAACATTACAGACGGAATACAACTTATAAATAACTGTACAAAAGCGACGAAACTTAACCTAATTGATTAACGAGGGTAACTCCGGTTGCCGCCAGACGGTTAAAAGTATTGGAAAATAAACCGAATCTGTACTCATCACTATCCCTCACATTACATATACCTATCATATGCGTGTATTGACTATCTACAGATATTCGTAAGATATCTATAAGATGTATGGAATAGTGGTAAATGACCGTCTAATATACGTATATTGTAAGTAATTCGGATATGTATATGAGACGTGGTCAGATATCTAATATACAGTACATATAATATCTATTTTATANCTCAGGTCAATGTTGAACCAATGTTACGACAAATTGGACACATTATCGACATGTGATTATGGACATTAATTATGTGCCCATAGCACAGTATTCTTATATATTTTTAATCTGAAGTTGAGGAACATCTTTGTTCATTGCTTGAAGTGTGTTGAACAAAGATTATCATTTTTTTCTCTCTCCTCGTTTCCGAGCTAAAGGCAGTCTTTCTTCGAAGTAAAGCTGGAGTATCGGCATCTGAAATAGTAAAGCAGAACGGTATTACGACTTAAACATAAAAAACGGTATTGGATCTTATATACAAACGAACTACCATATGTACCACTTGCGGGAAAGCCATACGAGTCTCGTGCGCCATCTATCGGAGCCGGCCGAAACTACTGGTGGCAACCGTGAAAGGGAACAACAGTGGACAGCAGTTTCTGAGGACGAAAAATATAACACTGAAACTGAAAATAAACAGGTAGCGGATCAAGAATGTGCTAATGACGATAGTAGGTTTACAGCAAAAAGAGACTTACCTCCAACATTCTCGTGCAACTCATCAGAATCTTCCTTCACTGAGGAGTATACGGAATATCCATACATCTATAGGAAATCTATATCGTTCATATACATTAGGTGTACTAAAGGTATATTTATTTTACGTATACAAATCTATATCACGTATACGCACTCATTAGATATTCTCTAGATTATCGTAGATATCTAGGTTTGGTATATGTATATATATGGTTGATCTACATTCACATATACTATTCATATACAAAAAGTAGATATACATATTACGTCTATTTATTAGCGCAACGTTATAGGCATAATATAGATATTCCTCAGATAATCGCAGATGTCGAGGTTTGAGACATGAATATCTACGGTTGATCTATATCCTTATATACTGTTCATATATAAGGGATAGATATTTATATTACGTTATTAAACATCTCAGAAGTGTATACGTAATAAAAAATCACAGATATCTATAAATAATCAATACACGTATATAATGTGACTATATATGGACACTATATGCGAATATAGATTAATCATGGATATGTATATACTAAACCTAGAGGTTTGCGATTATCTATAGAATATCTAATCAGTGCGTATACGTGATATAGATCTGTATACGTAAAATAGATATCTATCTTCAGTATAGCTAGTGTCTATGAATGATATAGATTTCCTATAGGTGCATGGATATTCTATACATATCTAATGTACGTATATTATTCCTATCGTCACGTGTGAGACAATCCCCCGCTGTTACATGTAACAGGCAGAATTCTGCAGTCTACGTTCGACCATGTAAACAATTTCCCTCCATTTAAATACCGGTGGTCAGGAACACCATTTTTAGCGCTCTAAATAACCCAATATATATATATAAAAAAAAACATATCGTGTGTTGTATATAATTAGAATTATAAATTAGACTTCAGAAGGGGCTCGAAGACAAGGGTTACGAAGAATGGGTCGGAGAAATGATCGGCATGCGAGAGATTTTGAAGCATTTCAGCAACATATCCAGAAGTGAAGTAGTAGGTATGCGAGCACCGTACTTGAAACCTGGTCGCAACACTCAATATAAGGTACTGGAAGACTTCGGTTACATATATGACAGCAGTATTGGCATCTCTCCTTCAAAAGTTCCGATTTGGCCGTACACCTTAGACTACAAAATCCCACACGAGTGTAAGGCTGGAACATGTCCTACTAAGACGTTTCCAGGTAAATATCATATTAAAACATTATATTTGCAATGAAGCCTCACAATAAAAACATGTGTATAGATAACGGAAGTTAAGAATAATAAGTTAGGTATGTAGAATTTTTGAAGGACAATTCTATAAAGAGGTTATTTTCTTTTTCGTTTTCGCAAATTTCCGGTAAAAATAAAAGTTGCCGTTTTTGGTTGTTTTGTACAAAATAGAAGTAATTTAACTAGTAGAAATTTAATTTGCAGGCGTCTGGGAAATACCTTTGAACGCGCATTACGTGGAAAGCTACGAAGGTGGACATTGTCCTTATCTGGACCAATGTGTTCTTCACAATCACGATCCTGAGGAAGTGTTTGAATGGCTGCGAGAAGACTTCAATCGTTACTATGACCAGAATCGCGCTCCCTACATGATGCCCTTCCATACAAATTGGTTTCAAATCAAGGAGCTTGAAAAGGGATTGGCTAAGTTTGTTGATTGGGCCATTACATTGTAAGTACACAGAAAAATAAGAAAAAACCATTTAATAAAATTCGCGATTCTTAAGGTGATATGATAGTAGCCTCTGAGATGTCAAAATGTATACAAAACTTCTCTTTGAATTTAGTGTACCGAGTCGTTTGAAACTTTACTACCAAAAAATTTATATTCCTAGTGAGGTCAGTTTTCGAATAATTTCGTTAAAAAAAATCGAGAATTTTAGCCTTTGGACAGAACCGTAACACTAACGTTATACGTAGAATTTCGTGGTGTTTTTGTCTCATTCGTATACTTGCATGTCCGATTTTCGTACCTCTCGCATCAGATTGTATTCTCCGACTCGTACGCTAAGTTTGAATCCCCATATTAAAAAAAAAAAGACAAAGACATTTTTACGTCAAAGTTTTATATATATCCTGGAATAGAACCAAAATGGCAAAAGCCTATTGAAAGCTTAAGATACAAACACGAAGGCTTTTAGGGCATAGATATAACAATTTAAAACACTATAGTAATCTAACATTGCAGAATCATGTGGAAAATACCGAAAAAGGTTTATAAATGAGTTTGATAAAAATCTCGGATATCCTTCGATCAATTCATACTCTTCGACCCAACATGAAGTTCGCGCTAAATGCTTCGTCTCTCTTTTCCGCTCCCTCATCTTCCCTCTCCCGCTCCCTACCTCCCTTTCCTCCTCCCCTTTCTCCCTTCCTACCTTCCCTTCTTCTCCCTCCCTCAATCTCTCTTATGAAGCAGAAAGCCGCGATGGACAGTCAGTCCAGTATTCTAGATCGATTGGTGCAGCATAGCGTAGTTTGCGCCATCTGCTATTGTAAGAAAAGTAAACGGAGATGCGAAGATGACGAAGGAACTAAAATTGTTCTAGCATTCCTAGGTCTCGTATTATACAGGGTGTAACAGGATTCATAGACACGACTTATACAGTGCTATCCTTGTTTAAAAAGGAGTCGAAAAGTCCTATACTATTGTTTTTCCTATAGTGCATAAATTTACTGCAATACTAACAAGAAAGGTACCTGAGATGTCCCCCTCCGATTTTGTTCATTTTTAAATATGTTATGGAGGACTAAAATCTAAAGGATCCGTGTTTTTTCTTTATCGGCGGATAAACACTTTTAGGGGGTGAAATCAGGCTTCAAAGTTGGCCGTGAAAGGGGGTGAGTTTGCTGTTTCATATAGAAGCACTCGACCGATTTTCATGGAACAACCGTCAAAATGTAGGGAATAAAGAATTATGAAACATACATTTGGAATTAAAAAAAAAAATTCATTTTTAAGGGGTTAGCCACCCCTTTGAATAATTCTTTTATCCCTTACGCGAGTAGTAATTGCTCTATCCAAATGAAACTTGGTTAATTTATAGATCAGAACAATACAAAAAAAACATATTTTGTTTTTTTTTCGAAAAACGAATTTTAACGGTTGTAACAACCCTTTAATAAAATAATGTATAATCTCGTTTTAAAACCAGCTTTATACGACTTTCTTGCACTTAAAGGACTTTAACGATGAAAATTAATAAAAGAATACGATCAGGTACCATCCGATACATTCAAAGGGTAAATTACCCCTTGGGTTCAAAGGAATGTGATTCGTAGAATATAAGACAGTGGAGTTAGCTGTCCTCGCAACTAGTGCGTAGCCGAGTGGTAACGCCGCGCAAGCGAGCAGTATGCAGTGCCAGGTTTTCAAACACTATATGTAAGTAATATTTCGGTTTGTTCAGTTTCGTTCGTTATGTTCGATTTCCATTATCAGTCTACTTTATATCAAAGAACGATTGTTATCAAATATTACTGTGAAGGAAAAATCGAAAGTGAATCACATGTCTGGACGAATCGTGTAGACGTATTACATTGTTTTATATTTAGATTGTATTAATATAAAAACTGAACGTAACCGTGTTTGTATTTTTCATTGCAACTGTAGTTCTTAAAAATGAGAGAATGAAATATTACTTACATATAGAGGTTGAAAACCTGGCACTGCATCCTGCTCGCTCGCACGGCGTTACCACTCGGCTACGCACTAGTTGCGAGGACAGCTAACTCCACTGTCTTATATTCTACGAATCACATTCCTTTGAACGCAAGGGGTAATTTACCCTTCGAATGTATCGGATGGCACCTGATCGTATTCTTTTATTAATTTTAATCGTTAAAGTCCTTTAAGTCCAAGGAAGTCGTTCAAAGCTGGTTTTAAAACAAGATTATACATCATTTTATTAAAGGGTTGTTACAACCGTAACAATAACATTTTTTAAAATTATAATTCATTAATAAATACATTTCTATAAGTATTGATATTATCGAATAATGATAATAAACAATAAAAATTGAATAATATTGCGGCAAGAAATTTGCTGCAAGTTTGTTGGGCGTGTACCCGCAAATGCAAGTTGCTGTAGCAAGAAGTGACGCAACTTGCACGTGAACTCGAGTCATAATAGAACAGTGTGAGAACGAGAACTCTCGCGATTGGGTCTACGCGTGTCTGTGCAACAGGGGTGCGCAGTAAAGTAATTTACATATGTGCACATGCATATTACTGTCAACCAACTGTCAAAAACCTGCTGTGCATTCTATCAGCGCAGACAAGCGTAGACCCGATCTGTCGCTGACAGAACAGTGAAAGAACGAGAACTGTCGCGGTCCATATTGCGACGTGGTCTTCGCCACAAATTTGGCGCTCAATTTATTTCATACAACCCGAATCCTTCGGGCGCTAGCCGCACGACGGCGGCCCTAAATCTCACTCACAAAGTCACAAAAATTTTACATCGATATGCGCAGGTTCTCGGCCGTGTACGACTACCTATTAGGTTGTCCCATAAGTTCCTTCCGCATCGTGTATTCATGTCCTATGAAAAAAAGGGAAGAAACTTATGGGACAACCTAATATTTACGCCGCGGCTGTCACTCGCGAACTCCCTCGCAGCCCTCGCGACGCGTAGTTCCCCTAAACATTCTGATCGTGGGTTACACTAGTTTTAATTACGAACTTTCCCCTATTACCAATTACGGATTTTCCCCTATGATACTTCGGACCCCTCGGGACTTACTTGCGGGCTTGGGAGCACGATGGACTTTCCAATTTCCACAATCGGGTCTTTCGCAATCTTTCTTTGTTCTCTAATTGATATACTCCGACTAGTACGACTATCCATGGAATGCCGACACGTTCTGGCACACACGCCGTGTCGGGTCCGTTTTGGCAGTATCCGGGGCGCGGATTGGATGAGCCACGTTGCCGACGGCACACGGATTGGCTCCGACCCGGCGGCGCTGCGTCAGCCAGGGGGTCGACACTACCATGTATTGGGGTGTAACGCTTTATGCACTACCGCCATCTTCGGTTGGAGTAAACCTTCTTCGCAAACTAAAATATTTGGCGGGCTATTCAAATTGAATTATTAAACGAAGAGATATTTTCGGGATTTAAAAAGTACTTGCAATGATCAAAATAGACGTTGCTTAAACTGACACACAAATGTAAGAAAACAGTATATTAAACATAAAAGAAGTAACAAAAGTGTCAGTGGTGCAACGCCTGTTTTAAATCTCTGTAAGAACTGAAATAATTATATTAAACATTAGTTAAAAAAGTAACATATTTATTAAGATATAAATATTAATTATTATGAATGTATAAATATACAAATTCTATACAAATTTAATTTTTGTTATGATTACTTTCATGGATTAAATGCGATCAATAGATCGCATTTAATCCATTTAATTATTACAATTATTATAGTAAGAAACTACAAACTGTTCTTGATTTACACTTTTACTCACAAACTCACGTTCGCGATTTAATACCCGAGGTAATCGAAACTTGTAAAAATATTGCCACTAATCAAGGTTAGGTTCACTTTGGTTCACTTGTCCCGACTATTTTTATGCGCATCTACGCTGCGCCTCCTGGAGTCTCTTGCTATTGGTTAGAACATTTTTCTCTGTTCTTCTCTTTCTATTAGACCGAAAAGTCACGACACCAGCGCAGTCTTTGCTTGGAGTAGGTGAACTAACTTCAGCGTTACACCTCTCCCATAAGGAGTGTCGACCCCCTGGCGTCAGCCGACTAATAAGGTCGCATCCCTGGAGCAGCGCAGCAACAGCGGTCTCTGCCTCGCCGCGCAGTATAGGGTCGCGTTGGGAGCCCGAAACCCTCGCGCGCTGTCAGGACCTCATGGGCGAACTTTAAGGCGCGCGTCCTTCGAGGAGCCTCTAAATAACCCACCGCGCATTCCCTCGGCCCCACTGCCTGGACCCTGTCCTATTTTGGCATACAAATTCCCATATTAATTCCCCTTAATAGCGTCCGGACATTCGCTAGCGTCACTCGCAGGCAGATAATTCGCTCTAAAGATAAATATGGTGGGTAGGAAGCCACCCCAACCTCCATGAGAACGCTATTTCCCTTTAATGTGGGGGGGGGGGGCTACCGGTCCACCACCTTACAATATATTATATGTCGATGGTTTTATTGCTAGATTCAAGCCAAGAGCGACAGACGAGGAGCAGCAAGCGACAACCAATGAGCAAACCGAATTTTCAGCAGTCCATGTATTATACGTCCACGTCCTGATCATAAGTTCGGAAAAATTCAATGCTATCATTGGTTTTCGCTTGCTGCTCGTTGCTTGTCGTCCCCGGCCTAAATCTGGCAATAGAACACGCGGCTTCCCCATAATCGAAACCCGCTAAATTCAAAATTGTAAACACAAGACCGATCCGACCTTAAATTATGAGATGGACAAAGAAACATACGCAATTTCAGATTCGTAGTAATGAAACGCTATTCTATGATGCTGTTCGTAACGCAACAACCGCGCTTTAAGATAAAAATTAATTGTGTTGTTATCGACTCACGAGTGCACGATGGAACCGCGTCAAGGCGAGTCGAGAGGCGTTGTTACCAGGGAGTAACTAATACTCAGAATCATGAGATAATACTAAAAGTTCATTGAAAATAGCTGTATATAAGCCTATCCTTGAGACCAATCTGCCCAATTCAGTTCTTCGTTTGAACTGTCGTTCTTCTCGACTGCTATTGCCAAGGTTGATCTTCTTGCGTTTGCCGTTTTGTGGCCGTGGCCATATGTGGTCATGCTGCCCAATTCTAAGTTTGAGAATGTTCGCCGGGTCGTCGTCTTGCATTTCTAGGCTATCACGAAATATGGACATGGTGCTCGGCTATTAGCAAAGAACCTTGCCTAATACCGTATCGGTCGTCGACTCGCACTCCTGGAACTGCCGATGCGAGGTTTCTTAATCGTCGTTTGCGCAAATAGGAAGTTATCGGGGCTACAACAGCATTCTACATTCAAAATATTTTTGTCAACAGAATAATTATGGATGGAATAAAAATTCGGTCCTATGTTTTTTATATGATAATTTATCAGAAACGGTTCGAACCCTATGTTATTATCGTTCTATGTAAATACTCTTCTTCTAAACAGGATGACGCGGAATTCTGTAAATATAGTGTCGATTGGTGTCCTATTTGCAAATTAGTTATTTTCGTAAAAATCGTTTATACCATTAGAGAATTAAACTGCAAGGCAATATTATGCTGGAGAAAACTATCAATGCTTCTGTGGTTAATGTTTTAACTTCGATAAATCATACGCGGTAAATGTTTTTTGTGGTGAATAGTTGACTTCTGAAGAAATAAGTGTTTTTAATGTTTTAGAAAATGTGTTGCCATTTTTTTTCCCTTTTCTGTAGTGACTTAAATATTTTTAATATTTTGAATATGTACATCGTTTGCATTGAATTATTTATATTTCATTCATTATGTATACATTTTCTATCCTAATTTTTAGTTAGAGACAAACGTACCATTATAAACAAATTATTTTCTTAAACGGTTTAAAAACAAAGTGTTACATTCCGTTTCTAAAAAATTCTTACTGATGAACAATAAAGCCAAGGAACCGTTAGAGGAATTACTATCATTAAAATTATTTTTAACCTAACATCCGCTCGAACGACATTCGTTAAACGTTAACAAGGCCTCCACTAATTCTTGGTAGTCTACCAATAACTTTCGACAGCTAGCGACGCTTCCTACCGACAAATATCGATATCTCACGCGTATAGAAACACTCTTACCGACATTTGTCGTTTGCTTACGCTACCGACGCCGATAGATATACAATGTGGTGTATAGAAAACCGACCTGACTCGATATTTTGTCGAGAATTAACCAGTCTTCAAATTTGACTCTCACATCCAGTGCAACCCGCGTTCAGACTTTCCTTCGAACATCCGCAACAGTATTTAATAGCCGAGAATGAGAACCACTATCTGCCAAATAAAATGACAGTCCATACCTCGAAATGAGAATCGATTCTTTGACGCGCGTTAATTGGCGCTGTTCGCAGACGGAATTTTCGTGAACTAAAATAGCCCGAAACATCATGTTAAATGTACCGAATATGTCGTTAATTTTCAATGCACTTAATTTTGGAAATACATCATATACAGACTTGATTTTTACATTGATGGGTTTCCTTTTTGTTGCTCAAGGGGGCATGACTCCTAAAAAAATTAAATGTATAGCTGACTTGGAATAAGCACAATACATGGTCGACAAAAATGTAATCTAACAAGGAAACATTCCCAAATGTCCGCCCCCGATCTTATTGATTTTCATACATGTTGAACAACACAAAAATCTAAGAGACACGTGTTTTTTTATATCTGCAATGGTCCGCATTTAAGGGATGAAACAACCCCCCAAAGTTTGGCAAAAATTCGAGTTGTACAATAATTTTCATAGAAGCCATGGAGGGATTTCGACGAAACTTGATGTAAACGTATTCTGTATAAGGACGGTGAAAACACAATATTGTCCAGCAATGCTACAACCCCCCGAGGGAGTGAACTACCCCTTCAGGCGACATTTTTTTGTAATATGTATTAAACAAGCACTTCTACTTAAATTCCACTTACGCGATATGATTGCTCACAAAAAATGAAGAAATACGGGTTTTTTGCTTTTTGCCAATAAACATTTACACATCGATTGTAAACAATGAATGTAGGTGGTATACGGGTATATTCCGACTAGCTTTATTGGGTTATATCGTGACCAATTCATTGTACATAAATCTTGTGAACGTGCTAATTCCTCAAAATGTCGTTGGTTTTCATAACATGCAATTATTTATAAATAAATTTAAAATAAAGTTTAAGAGACTAAAATAGTTTCGCAACAGATCCGATGACGCAGTCATCACCCGTTTCCAACTAGTAATACAATCTCCTTGGTGAAACGGTAAAATTGGATTTTAACTGTTTTTACGAAAATAGAATTAGCGATATTCGTTCACACCCTTGGGGGGGTGTAGCATTGCTGGACAATATTGTGTTTTCACCGTCCTTATACAGAATACGTTTATACCAAGTTTCGTCGAAATCCCTCCACTGCTTCTACGAAAATTATTATAAAAATTGAATTATCACCAAACATTAGGGGGTTGTTTCGCCCCTTAAATGTGGATCATTGCAGATATAAAAAAAAACACGTGTCTCTTAGATTTTTGTGTTTTTCAACAGTATATGAAAATCAATAAGATCGGTGGCGGACACTTGGGAATGTTTCCTTGTAAGAAAAAATGTATTAGGAGGATGAAAAATAAAGTGATGCCTCCTAGGTCTTCTAATTTTCATCTCGCAATTCGATTTGTAAGTTCTAATTATTTACCGTTCAGATTTCGAGTGCATTGTAAATTGATGCGAACCAATTAGCTATCGGTGTTACCGACCCCAATGATGGTCAGTCTCAAGGCCCCTTGAAATGATATGAAAAGCGCCAATAAATTTAATTGACGTCGATAAAATGAAGTTCATCTATATTTTTTTTCTGTGGTAATGCCATTTTAAATACTCAAGTGATATCATAAGCTGACGTGCTATGTTACTGACATTTATATTTATATTGACATCTGTTACCCTCTACATTGAAAATTACACATTATGAAGTACTTCCTATTGTTATTGTCATTGTAGTAGAATTATTATAAAAAGATCGAAGTAAAACTGAATAAATACCTCGGAATTGTGATTTTTTTATATCTAATCGACCAACGGCGCCATCTGGCACGTTTAACTAGAACTAAATTGTTGTTCTAGGAGCACATGGTACCCATGGAATATGTCAGCATTTTCTTACAACCGTTCACGAAAGTATTTTTCGGATTTTCCCACGTGACTCTGCAAAATTCGATTACCATAGTATTCTTAATTCTTCGAGTTATGTCCTGAAAGTTTTCACTTACAATTCTAAACCTCCAAAAAGCGTAAAATAGCAAAAATATGCGTGGCGATGTCATTTTGATTCTAGTCCTCGGTAAATACAATCTTTTCTAAGAAAATAAAATTTCATGAGTTTCAGAACCTACCTTAGGACCTCCTCATTCACGTGGTAAAATTTTAAACGAATCGATACACCCAATTCGGAGAAAACTTTCACGAACGATTTGACCCTTCAAATGCCTATTTTCATATCACCTTAAATAATACCTGTCAAATAATACCTGACTAATTAGAAATTCAAAGAATGCCCTTATAATTTTACATCGTTTTAAAATTAATTAACGATATTCAGTTTTTTTATTTCGACTTACTAATTACTTTTTAAAATGCAATCCCAGTGAACACTGTTATATAACTGTTGGGTAAATGTTACGTTTCCGAAACTAACATGTTATGTGGCATAAAAGTAATATGGACGTTAAATATTAGTTATTATTT